CGATTAGACGCTCTTTCAGGTAATATCATGATTTTCAACAAACTTTGATTTTCGTTTCGCATTTAAAATATTTTATTCTTATTTTATTCTTTATTGAAATATTTTATTCTATTATTGAAATATAAAGTGTGTGTGTGTGTATATATATATTTTTATTATAATATGGTAATTTTTTATTTAGCGTGTATTATATTTAGTTGATTAAACTAAAGAACGAAATTTTTAAGAACCAAAATACTCGTACAAAAGGAAACTAAGCATCTTTGATTTTATGTTCTTCGTAATCTTTCGGCAGGCAAGGTCGCTTTATTTTACAGATAATCTCACTTTTATCAGAATATTGTAAAATTAACAGAGATAATCGATCCGAAGAGATCAAGTACAGCTGACACAAAGCGATCGATGAACGCAACATTCGATATTAACAATTTTTTTTAATGAATTAACGTCACGCTGATCAATTAACTCCTTTATCGTATACAATTTTATTTCTTGTTGATTTTAAGGAAGTAAGTTAATTTCTGAGAAAAAATATTTTAATTATTTTAATTATTTTTTTTTTTCCTTTAATATCTACATTATAGTCTTAAAAATATATAGGATGTCCCAGATTTCGCGTGGTATCAGTCAGTAGCAGATTTCTGAGATCATTTCAAGAAAATCCTAATATCAAAATGAGACTACAGTAGTTTCTAAATGAGAAAGGTTAAAATGTTTTCAAGCTATTTTCAATAGTTTTCAATTCTATTCTCTCCTATTTTTCTAAACACCTTCATTATTACTGTACAATGTGTCATGTCTGAGCACACGAATTTCGGATAGTTTAATTATCTATAACTTTAAATTCTTCTAATTTTTTTTTTTTTTTAAACTACATTAAAGAAAAATTGCAATTAAGAAAAATTTTATTGCAAAATTCGAAAAATTGATGAAATTACAGAGAAGAATGTAATAATAAGTACTAACACCGACGAGATGTTATTAAAGACGGCCGATTTTACAAAAGTTCGCGTGACTGTTAAAATTTAAATGATTGAGAATAAAAGACCGATAATATAATGGTACTAATTTTATGATTTATTAGTTTCGTAATATATATATATATATATATATTTATATATTTATATTTAAAACTCAATAATACTCGATTTTTATTTAAAATTATGGTTTTAATGTTATCATACGTCAGAGTTCAATTATCAATAGACATGATAACTACAGAAAAAAAAATAATTTTGCGGCAATAGTATATGTGTAAGACATCATAGAATTACAAGTTATACTTATTTATGCAGAATTTATATAATAAAAAAATCATGAATTTAGCAATGTATTATCCAAACATTTATGTTGATAATCGCAATTTTATATCAATTGCCGATACCGACTTCAAATATCCCTGGACCCTTTCTTTTTAATTGTGATGGCACTCGCCGCAGAAATGACGGCGATTCCGATTTCCCTAGACTAGAGACCCTCTAATCAAGGGGTCGATTCTGTATCTTTAAACAAGGTGAAAATTACAAAAGTGAACAAATTTACTAGGTGTTGACCAATGCGTGGCGCTCTAATCTCACATCCCCACACATCAGGGTATCGATCATGTAACTTTTTCTCTAGAGTGGAAACGTGAAAAGTGAAAATTTTTATGCATGTATGTATGTACACGCACCGGCAGGAATGGTGTCCCTCGGCGTTCGGCGCGCGACGCTACACACTCGTACCGAAGTTCACACGTACGTGTTACTGGAAGCATGCAAAGCTATTACAATGAGTCTCAAAATTACACGTAATTATGCACAAAAATTTTTTACAGTATTAAGAATTTTTATGCATAATTACATCATTTTGTGCATAATAAAAATATTATGAATATTGGCGAGCGGGAGACACCGGGGGATCTCACTCGCGCTAGTAACAAATGTGTGAAACAGCGAAAGGACACCGCGAGCCGATATCACGTCCAATTACGCTTTCTCTCTCAATCTCCATTCCTGCCGGTGCGTGTACATATACACGCTCATACAAAAAATTTTCACTTTTTACGTTTCCGCTCTAGGGAAAAAGTTACATGGTCGATACCCAGGGAATTGATTCTGTATCTTGAAACGAGATAAAAATTACAAAAGAGTGAGCAAATTTACTAGAATACTGATAATTTCATTGGTCAACACCTAGTAAATTTGCTCACTTTTGTCATTTTCACCTTGTTTGAAGATACAGAATCGATCCCCAGGTTTGTTCGCGTCGCAAGCTCCAACATGCTCCAATATGCTCCTACCATAGCTCCTTCTCACTCTACCAAGCGCGTTCGAGTGAGTAGGAGCTATGGTAGAAGCATATTGGAACATGTTGGAGCATGCGACGCGAACAAACTAATCGTTACCTATTGCTATAGCTACAGCAGCTACAGTACTGTGCGCTCAGCTGTAAACCAACGCGCATGTGCGAGTGCGGGGCATGTCTGGCATCACTGATTGGCGGTTTGGAGTGTACGGATGATTTTTCGATGGAAAAATAGAAAAAGTGACATGATCTAGAGAAAACATTACATGATCGATGATCGCCTCATGACGCCTGATGATGCATGGATACTCTGACCTTTGCTCCGTGAAGCGCAGTGGAGAGTAGAGTCCTATATATAAAGAGAAGCGACATTGACGTCCGAGTTTCTGGGGGTCAATTCTGTATCTTCAAACAAGGTGAAAATGACAAAAGTGAGCAAATTTACTAGGTGTCGACCAATGAAATTATCAGTATTCTAGTAAATTTGCTCACTTTTGTAATTTTCACCTCGTTTCAAGATACAGAATCGATCCCCTAGTGTGCTGAAGCAAGCGTTCCATTTTCGCAAATATACTGCCAGTGTACAGTGAAATGATAGTAACGGAACGTCCGCAGCTGTTTACACAGCTGATACACGTGGCCGTCGACCACGTTGTTTGCACTATTTAATGCGTTATATAAGCCTTAAGTAATAAAAGTTGGTCAATTTTTTACGGCTTAAAGCTTAAAATATCTATTGTAGATCTAAAGTAATGAAATACTTTAGAGCTCACTCCGCTAACGGAGTCAACGGAGTACAATGTTGGTGGTTGGAGTATGTTTATGTTTACGACACTGGAGCGGTCGAAACATGGCGGCGTAGGGGGTGATGATAGGGATCATCCGATCTGGTGGTGGGGGTTCGATGTCGCTTCTCTTTATATATAGGACTCTAGTGGAGAGTCTGGAATCTGGAGACAGCCGGTGAAGCGTTCATGGACTTTGCGCACCGGAAAGTGGTGGCACAGTATATACTGTGGTGGTGGATTGAGATTGAGGGGGCCCCGCAAACTGAGAAGAAAGAGGAGCATCTGTCACAAAACAAAGCATCATAGTCACTTCATCAGAATCAGTCACAGTTCAAAAATCGCGTTAAAAATGGATCATCTTGTGAGCGATCTCGAGCCGCTTTTCCCCGACAATCTGTTTCAGTCAACTGGACCGAGTCTTTCGTACGCGCGTAACAATGAAACTCGAAGAGGTAACATTGATGGGCATTACAACATTGCGATGTTACAAAATTGACGAAGCGTTATCTTATAGATATGTTCCGAGAAAACATCTGATTTTCATTCAACACAATTACTTTTACATAAACTGTTACGCAATTGTTTACAAGCACTGTCTCACCTTCGATTTCTATGAAATTAGGCTCATTCGACGCGTTTTTGCACAAAATGAAAGAATCTGACAGAAAAAAAAGTGCGGGACTGCCCTGTGCTGCTCTATGAAGCGAGATATTAAGGCTGGGTTCGGGGAGCGCGCTATCAGCGCTATTGTGTCATGCTATCCTTGTTTTACGTCTAGTGGACGATGAATGACACA